TCAGTCAGCCAGAAAATGCTACGCGTTATTATTATGACATTATTTTTACCGTCGAGGAACGGTATTTATTAATGTTAAAATAAAAATTTAACAGTGAAAAAAGAAGTCGTCCATACTTACGAGTAAAAGACCGCTGTAATGAAATTAAAATCTACCAAGGTAACCGTTGTGCGAGGCGCCTGAGTTGGGTAGGGTGAATGCTGAGCTGCATAGTTGTCAGTAAACTCACAAATAATTTCGTCGGGTTTAGGTAATATTATAAAAGAATTTTGGTTTTAACTTTAAGAGTATAGAAATATAAGATGATATACTTGTATATAAAATATATTTGTCGAGGAATTTGAGATATTTACGGGGTAAAAATTATTTTATGAGAATTTCCCAATTAGTTTTTTTTTTTTTTTTTTTTTTTATCTCATAGTTTATCATCATTGAGCAAATGGAATGCAACTAATGGAACACAAATCGTAGGAGGGTATTTATGTATTTAAAATGGTTCAATTAGGTAGTGTAAGATGGTTGTGAGATAAAGTGTACTCGAATGTACCGTACGTGCCGTAAAAATACTACGGTTCGCGCAGGTATATGTTTAACAAACATTATTATAAAATATGTATGTGTGCCGTTTGCCATCACTGCGGGCGAGTTCCTGCCTTATGAATATTTTAAATGTTTACAGTACCCGTGCGCAGTTATACCTCATTAGCATAGTTCTGTTTATGCGGTTCATTAGAGCTTCTACAAGAAAAAAAAAAGGAGGTTAAACGCGTATTTTACTCGCGATTAATGCGCTCGCCACGAATACAAAAATTTATATCACCTAATCGAACGGAAAAAAGACCGGGTAGAATGATATATTAATGATAAAAGTTTTCGCAACTCTAACCCATAGAACTATGTGTAAATTATGTTATATTAATATTTTTTGAAATTATTTTTCTTTTTTTATGTACGAAGACATCCTCTTCGGATGTGTCGAATGACTATCGGGCAAACATTATATAATACACTACCTATAACTATATGAAATTAGGTACACATATGACGATGGTATTTTACAGAGATATTTAAATCGTATTACAAGCGTTAGAAATTTTTAGGTATTTGATTAAGTTGCTGATAATGGTTGGTTGAGAATTTAATTTAGGTGTATGAAGGAAATAGTTTCTTCTCATTCTTGTGTTTTCGGCATTCGGTTAGTAAGTGTTTTACGGTTAGGAGTACACCACAGATGGTACAGAAAGTTAGTTCCTCTTTTGACATCAGGTATCCCTGAGTTAATGATGAGTGGTCTATTTCGAGTCGGTTCATTTTGTCCTCGTATATTTTAGTGTACTATTTAAGGGAAATTCATTGAAATATTGACTATTTCAAATCTCGTTTAGTTTTATAACTTGTATTTACCATTTCTTCTGCCATGTGTCAAAAATATGATTGTTGATGACCTTTCTCTCTAGATAAAAATATTGATGTTATTTGAATCCGTATAGTTGTTCATACGAGAATATCGTTCAATATTATTCTGTCAGCTATAAGGTAAAAATAAAAAGTAATAATTAACACCAATCAAATTTAACCAAAAATTATTATTCACTATCATTATTTTCCGATTAACATAGAAACCTAATTTAATTTTTCTGTTTGAACGGTCGAAAATATGCATATACATGTTTGGTATACTATAAAAACATGTATTCATATATGGAAAAATACACGAGTATTTTTATTGTTCAGCGATCGTTTGTGGACTGTTCAGCGTTTGCATGCAAATATTGTAAATGTTTTAGCACGTCGAACGGAACGATCATATTTTGCGTAATTTTCGGAACAAAAAACAACGGTACGATGCAGAATTGCATATTTTACGGTTCGACGGTGACATTTTTACACTCCGCGACGGTGGTATTTTATTTATTTACTTTTTTGCCAGAAATATTTCAAAACTAATGATAGATTGCTGTTGTCAATTTTTAATTTATATGTAGATGAACATCTGCAGCTTTGTGGGCGTAAAAAATAAAAATTAAAAAACCATCGTCCTATATCGGATTTGGTTATTATAATAATGACGAGTTAGACATATTTCTCGAGAGTATGAAATCATTTTCGCTGTAACTTTTCAGCATAAACTGCTTAACGTAACAAAAAAAATTTTCAAAACAATTAAAAGTTTTTTTTTCAGTAAGTACGTTCGTGGCGCGTGTATAACTGATTGATCGAGTGATCTTCTTTCGTACAAGATATAAAAATTAATAAAACTTCGAATCATTCGTTAATGGTATCTATAGGCGCTTATAAAATCTTTAGCATATAATAATTAAATATAAAAAGCATAATTATTATTCAATGGAACACTATGATTTACAAATACCAATGGTTGAATTAATATCATTTAACGCAATTTATTTTTATTGCGATAAATTCGAATCATACAAATGATACTATTACGTCTCTGGACAAATGATTTTCGTTATTATTTCCCTGTAATTTTCGTTCGAATTACGTTGTAGAATGTAATGGAAAAGATTTTTGTTTTTGATTCGAACCATAATAATAATAATAATAATATTAATAGTAATAGAATTCATTAATAATCAAACCTCGATTAATGATCATTGAAGAATGTTTATTGCAGTTTACTATAACGTCTACCTGTAATACCTAACTATGTATATATGGTACATATGTTTGCTTTGAAATTGAAAATTAAAATATGACGTCATGTTCTACGACATTTAAAAACTGAATCAGAGGTTTTTTTACCAACTTTAGTTTAAGGGTTTGACTTATTGTTAGTGAGATTTGATTTTTACCAATATTCAACTGCCTAATCATACATTGTTAATACTTTCATTGAATAATTCAAACTAAATCAGCATTTTAAAACGTGATAAGTCTGTAAAAGTAACTATAATTGTGAAAGTATTTAAAAAAAAGTTCAAAAACTATTGTGAATTTGGTAAATTTTGTAGTTGTTATAGATGTGTTTATCGTTATAATATTTTTATTCACTGAGTTTACGAATAATATACAATATTTTTTGACGAGGAAATTGTTTGTGTCTACACTGTGATTAATTGGAGGATTAAAGAAATTACAACTTCGATAACCCTTTAATAAGTAAACTATTATAGATTAGTGTAATAAGGATTAGTATAGACCTTAGGATTTACATTGTACATATACAGGTACCATAATTTATTTTACTTCATGTTAAATCTTTAAGCATTACATGTACGACATCGCAGTACGAATATATTTCATGTATTACGGTTATATTGATCGAACGCTCACCTGTTGTATGATTTTGAACTGTAATCGGCCACCATAGTATAATAAACCGATTTAAAAAAAGCTGTATTGTACAACGCATTGTGTGTGTGAGGAATAACTCACTAAGTGTTTAATATACTCATATTATGAACGTTGTGTGATTACCGTGAAAAGTTATCGAGATAACTATATAAATAATACCGTCTTATTGATGTTGTTTATTGTTATTATTATTTTAATATTTTTTTTTATTTTTTTTTTTTTTTTGGGATCTGTGTGAGATGTGACCCCATAATCATCATAACCTGGCACGTATCCAGGGAGTCAACTAACCAATCGTCTGAAAATTGCCAGTATCTGCTCATAAATCGCAATCCTTCATAATTAAAATGTAAGTACAATACTCTTCATTTGATAGATAATTGAAAATTAAAGGTGTTTTTTTATCTTAAACGAATGAAAATCGTATTGTAATAGATATTGTTAAAGATTATAATTTTGGGTAGACAGCTTTGAAATTTATATAAAACCTCTATTTTCAAAAGAATATAATTTTTCTTACTTACCTAATCATAACAGGCTCGTCTTCAAGCCATCACTGGATACTGTTAAGTATTACTATAGGTTACACGGCCACTTTTAGGGCGTATATAATGGGTATTAAGCCGTGATAGAAACGGCCGTACTGAGCGGTTATGCGCTCGCTTGCCGGAGGAAAATAATTATTGTTCGGTAAGATGTTAATAAATTACGCAAACGAAAAAAAAGTCAAGAACATCAATTGAGAAGTTTAATGCACAAAAAAAAATTAAAATAAAATAAAAAATAGTTATAATAATAATAATAATAATAATAATAATAATAAAACGTCTTATCGTTAAAAAATTGTTTACTTTTATTTTATACTGCAGTTATATTACTCTATAATATTTGCGTTGTACAGCTGAGGTGAAATAACACACCACATCAGAGTTGGTTTGACAGCAGTCTATTTTATTTTTTTCGATAGTTTCGAAAGTTATGTATTACAGGGAAGGTCCACTGTGCAGTGGTTTCCCGTTACTGACTGCAGCACAGGAAGAACGGCAAACTTTATTCATCCTCCGGAAAATCGTTAACAAAAATGATCCTTAAACATTAACACCCAATGTCACTTACAATTTAAGGACTAGAAAAAAAATGGTACTTGTTTGTTATCGCGACTACTGTTTTTCATTCGATGGTAAATCCCAGATTTGCATTGTAATAATATGACACGATACACGACAATGGTCCAACACTAACTGTGTTGGAAAATGGTGAGTAAAAGGTCATATTACCTATCTACAAAAAATTCCCACACCAATGCTAATAATAACCACCATTCGATACGTCTCGCTAGGTAGTCGCGATAACCGACAAGTACCAAAAAAATTAACAACGAATAATAATGGGTACTTTTTTTTTTAAGGGTCACAGTTTTTGAGTGGATTAATAACTAATTAAATAATTCTTATGAGGTCGCTGTAGTATGATATACAAGTATATAGTATAATGTACAGATACAATTATATAATAGTGAAAACGAAAATGTTTTGTTTTAATAAACCCGAAAAAACACAGTTTGACAACAATTATTTCTAACGCTACCGAATGTACACCCGTACAGTGGCGGATTTACGGGGGTGGATATGAGGGATAAATCCCCCCCGTGGGCCGAGAGTTAAAAAATATTTTTTTGCAACCAATTCAATTTTTGCATGTACAATTTAACTATTTCATTATTATTTCGTAACCAAGATGGATACACTAGTATACATTAGTATCTAACTTCATATCAGATTACGGATATACATCTCGTACTTATATGATGACCCGGGATACAGCCATAGAGTAATGGCACAATCATCGAGAAAATTAAATTTTACTTTGTAAATTTAGTAGAATAAAGCTTATAATACATATACATACTATGTACGAAAATATTTTATATCCCCCCCCCCATTATAAAATCCTAGATCCACCACTGCGCCCGGACACATACGCAATTATACAGGTATATGCGTGCGTACCAACACATACACAAACACACGCGTTTGTACACATACGAGTAGGGAATCAACGTGAAACAATGTAATAAAAACTATAATGATACACGCGCTGCTCTGGTCAAGGTGACTGGTTGAAAACAAACCGCGCGGTAGATAATATGTACAACATAATATATGTGTATTTATTATACATATCGAGAAATACAGCGTAACATTATTATTACGAATGGAAATGGAAAATCGCTTATTACAATAATAACATGGTCTTCTACGTGCATCGTCGGAACCATGATATTCGAAAAAACGACCCAACGCTTCGCGGCCGCCGTTTAAAGGTCAACATATCTCATATATATTACCGTAATGCAGTAGACTGTACGAGTATTGATAAACTCGCGAAAACGACGAGGTATCAGAGGACAAAAAAAACCAATGGAATGTCGTGCATGCAGGCACATTTGTAAGATACAGTAGTATATGATATAGCTTAGTTATTTGTGGGATTCGATTCATTACACTCACCGGTGGGACTTCAAGGGTCATAATTTTGATCGCATCGTATTATTATTGTATATCTGTTTTGATTAGTTAAACGATTGTTAATATATTTGCTGTGCTAAGTTCACCTAAATATAAACGAATAAGGAAGCATATTAAAAATATATAATATATATATATATATATATATATTATCCCCGCGTGTATTTTTGTTCCATAATTAATCGGATATCAACATAATAATTTTGAACTTATATATATCTCCAAAAACGTTCTAATACGCATTATTATTCGATGAACTGTGAACAATAATGTTGTATACCATTAAACGATATTTCACCAATCCAATGACCGTTACATGGCGGCGACAATATTATCAAATTAAGTTCGACAGTGATCGATTAAATGATTATAATAGAATCGTTCCGTGTTTCTATATTAAATAAGTATCTGAATAGAGAAAAAACGTATTACTTTATACAAGGCAAAAGAAAAGAAACGTAGCAATAAGCATTCAATATGAGTTCACAATTTTAAAATAGAATTTACGGTTTTATTTTAATTTTAATCTAAAACAACAACTTCAGGCTTGGGCATAGCGTACATATATAGTGTCCTCGACTAAGTACTCGTATAAATATTGACAATATGTCTATGTGTTTCGCTGTACGTATAATAACTATACGACGCAAAACTGTTAATTTACAAACACGTTAAATTAGTATCGTAAATTAATTGTATATTTTGCGCGAGTGTAAAGGAAAAACATAAAAAATGAGGATTTTTTTTGCGACTTACGAGGTGATTTTTTCTGTTGCTTTTATTTGGTATAATATCATGTGCACAGTACCATATACATCGCACATCTAAATCTATATCAGTTAAAACCACAGTAATCTTCTTTGCACAGGAACCTGTTTTTACAGTCGTTTTCCATTATCACGCATGTCTTTGTAATAGGTTATCATAATTTTCATATAGTTTTCCGTTGCATGTGAACTTACAGGTTTAATCGAATCTCGAAGTGTTTCTCGAAGTACCCGAAATACCCTAAAAGTGTACAATAAGAATAATATTTTGTCGTATTTTTCGATTCCATTAGATTATTTTATTTCATTATACGCCCACGTCAATTACGATTCAGAATCTACGATTCTCGTAGAATTGGTTGAATAATACTGATAGAAACATTAACATTTTTGGCAATCATTTGCGCGAGACTGATCTGAAAATAATAGCGCAGTGACAATTATCATCATCGATTTTTAATAAAAAAAACGGAGAATATAATGAGCTTATTACGTATATACAGATTATATAAGATTATATTCAATAAATACACAGTGAAAGTAATTTTTTTTTTCTTTCGCCCTTTATATCAATATAGTATAAATAGTAGTAGTAGTTATAGCTATTAGTATTTTAAGTTAGATTCACTACGACTGTAAAACCAGGTCCCACTTTAAATACCTTGTATACTTTTGATAATTTGATAAACAATGATGGTCCAGCGGGAAAACAAAGGAAGGCAGATCTCTCCCGGATCCAACGATTTAAAATAAAAAAATAAAAAAATAGTTGTAGTAGTAATATTATTAACACCTTTAGAATTGTCATCCTCCATCGGCACATAATTGGTAAATTGTTTGGTTAGTTTTGAAACTAGAGGCACATCTAACACTAGACGGGCTCACAGAAAACCAGTTTGGATTTAGGAGAGGAATATCATCGAGCTATAGAAAAAGTTCCAACTGTGGTCCGTCGAGTAGTCTGTACCACGAATACGTAGAGATTTATGTGCACTAGTCTTGATTGATGTATTACAGAGTATTGGGAAATGAGAAGCAGTTGAATAATATATAAAAGAGGTTGTGGCTACCAAGGAAGAGGAAAAGTGATAACGGTCGCTAAATACGAGTAATGCTGGTTCAAGAAGTAACTATAATATAATTATCGTTTGTTTTTATTGTAATTAGTATTAAAGGTTGGATTTATTACGTTATTGTTGGACTATGTTAATTATGTTAAACGGTAGCGGTTCAGCGGAATTTCAGAGCAAAGGCAATTCACCTCACGCACGGGTTCGACATAGATTCGTTCGGTATAGATTTAGTTTTAAATAAACATAGCATAAAATAGTAGCCTGTAATAGCACTAAGAATAGCTCAATAACTAGTTGATGATAAAAAAAAGTTGCATACTGTAGTGCGGAAAGTGAACGTAGAAAATCTTAAAACTAAATATAAAACATCGTATATTGGGTACCGCGATAAAAGAACAGGATAAAGTATCCATACGCATACAAGCATGTTTATTATGAACGTCGCATCCTGCGCAGAATACAGCCGTGAGACTATTAGGAGAATGCGAGAAAAATGAAAATAAAAAGCTTATAGCACGATCGGTAAAATACGAGAGGGGAGGGGGAGATTTTGCGCGTTTCGCTACGATTTCGAGCGCATGTGAGATTTCAATTTCTTTTCCATCTTTTCAAAAGTATTACGTTAACCACGTTGATATTATAAAAAAAAAAAAAACATTACGTTATATACATTTTCACACAACACACGCATGCACGCACACACCCGTGAGGAAGCGCACGCGTCTGCGCATACGAACACTACTGCACAGACGTTCGTAACAATTATTTTTTGTGCGTAGTCGAGGAGAAAAAAAAAAATATCGCGGAAAATTTGCTTTGTCGAGGCGCTCCGATCACTGGACGTCCTCGGGCGAAAGTCCGAAGCTCACGTTGTCCGTTTTCACCGTGGTCATGGTGAACCGGCATATGTACGTGCCGCTCCGGGAGGTGTGCGCGCCCCTGCGCAAGCGGTTCTGCCTGTGCGAGCCCCAACACAGGAACAACCGTTTGAACTCGTTCCGGTATTTGCCTGCAACACGGAAACAACAACACGTAACGTGCGATTACGATTGCGACGTGTGCGAACGGTGTGGGAGAGGGTGGTTTTGCGCGTTCTTCGCGTACCGGCCGGCAGTCGCCGGGACTCGAGAGATGGTAAACTGTGATGAAATCGATCGTTTTCCAAAAGTCGACGTGTGAACAGCTGCGAGAAGAAATATTAACATTACGCGATCTACGACGAAACCGATAACATACACTACACAAGCTGCGGCATACGATTTTGTATACCTACTACGTTATATACTATGGAGTATGTAATATGTACCTATGTGTGCCCGTTTATCGTTTAATCGTTTAATTTGATCGTGTTATGTTGCGTTTCGTGTGCAAAACGGTAAGGTAAATCCAAATTTAATTTTTGAATTTTATCGAAAAACATATAATATCGGTTCCTACACTAAAGATAATGCTAGTTAGTAACTACTTACTAGATTACTTACTCAGATGTCAGTAGAATTATTTATGAATTTAACATTTATTTCAACGTGATGGAATTCACAACAATGTTTAGCCAGAATGGCGAACAATTAGTGTTGCCGAACAATTTTAAATTTAAATACAAATTAAAAATAAGTGGTCATAAGACATGGGAAGGTGCAACATAACATAGTTAATTAAACGATATAAGTACACAGGTGTACACAGGTACATATTACGTGCTATATAGTGTATAATATCCTAAGGAAATAAATTAGAAACTCTAAATAAGTACATAAAATTCCGCAGATTGTGTAATGTATCTTATCGGTTTTGTCGCGGATTGTAAAATGTTACATTTTTTCTCGTCGCAGTTTACGTATCGACTTTTAGAAAAACGCCGATTTTGCCGCGGTTTACATACAGCTCGGTTGCACATGTCACGTACCTTATTATTATTATAATAATATTAATTTTCGCGCGATCAAGAGCCGCCCAAACCACATTTGACGGTCAACGGCGTATTTGAACTCACCACCGATCGGCCTACTAACACACTCTCGTGTATCACGTGATCATAAGTCAATTTCAATATCTGTTTGTCGTTGTGTTAGTCTTAACACGTATTATGTAATCGAAAATTCTATTTCGAGTGCGTTATTGTAACATTGGTGCGCCATTTGTTCTTTTGCCTCTTGTCGAATGCCGCAACGGGGACGGCTCGAGTTTATTGCTACGCGCATTTTTATCATGATTTGTTATTGCTTTTAAATACGTGCATCGGTCGCCGTTTTTTATCATTATATATTACGGGCGCTGATCGTCGGTTTTTATTATTTTTATTTTATATTAGCTTAATACGTATAATACGTAAAACGGGGAAGCGCGTAGTATTATTTTGCGCCCACTACCGGTGCAAATTTTCGATGTCCTTTCTAATCTGATAAATCAAGTTATAAATAAACAAACGGTTTTCATAATACTAAGGAGGTGATCGCCGACACGATACCAGTGACGGGTCAACGGTTAACGTGCTCCAGACATGTGCAATGGAGTACTTTTACGAGAAAAGTTAAGGGTGAAAAATCAAAACGTATACTTGTTTAATGTTAGCTTTTTCGCTCCAGTCAATTTAAACATTTTCAAGGGTAGACAGTAGCTCAACGAAAGAATGAAGTTTATGTACATTGTCATGTCTCCTTTAATGGTAGTACGATTTCTAAAGAAAACGACCACATACGGTGTAACTGAAATAATTCTAGGAGTGATCATAAACTATTCTTAAAATGTAAAAACCATATTCAAATGTCCAACCTTTATTTTTTACGAAAGTTTTTCAGTAGAGATTAAATTATTAAAAATTAATTTCATCCCGTTGAAAATAATTATTTATTAATGCGTTTTACAGTATTATTTTTCATAGATGAGAAGTCTAAAAAACAACAATCCCGGAGTATGCTTTTTTAAATACATATAATACTCGTAGAGATACTTAGATTTTGTTACTTTTTAAGTGTTTTCACTGCTTCAGTAGAAACTTTAACAGGATCATCGTTTTATAATCTGCAGTAATTACTTCATCGTTTTACCCACAATATAAAATCAATTAAATAATTCAAATCAATTACTGCCGCAAATCGATCGTCCAATTATGATTCGAAAAGGGTCTTGCAAATAGTTGTTTTTATAGAAAAAAACAAGTTAACACTAATCTTCTATAATAGGTCTATAAAGCGTATTAGTTGTCAAGACAATCGAACATTTATTTTGAATTAAACGGGTTGTCTATTATCATAATATAACATTATATATTTTTATTGAATGAAAGTTATATCTTTGTATCACTTACCACTCATGAAGTTGTATATCAATGGATTCACGGCGCTATTGGCATAGCACAGCCAATGACTTAAATTTGAAATCAAAGCTGTCACCTGTGACTGATAAATTCCCACAGTAAATCTATAAATCAACAGAAACATGAGCATTACTACCTTAATACTATTTGTTAATAATTTCTCAAATTATAATCGATAAGCTTATTTAGTACATAATTTCGTATATTACAATACCGTAATATTTACCTATTTTTTTTCTTCTTTTTTTTTAATAATGTTTAAGATGGTTAATCAGCAACTTATATCAACTTTTTAAATTCATTAAATTAATGTAGTATAAGTTTTTCCTTCATTTTTTGTTTTTGATTTATTGTGATATTGCAGATAATTAATTGATTAAAATGATTAATTTATGATACCAAAATATTTGCGCATACATTGTTCAGTATATTTAATTATTTAAAAATGTTTATTTACAGAAAACTTTTTGAATCGACGACTGAATCAATCATATATAAAAATATTTTAAAATTATGCTTGTAAAATCAAAGAAAAAAGAAGATGCTGGTTAAGTAATTATAATGTGATTTATATGAATCCATGTTTCGATGAATTCTCAACGGGATAATTATAGAGATATGCCGGAATAAAATTCTAAATTGCTATTACTTAAACGTACTACCGTATAAATGAGTGTAATAGGAGGTGGTCTTTAATTTAAAAGTATTACATATAAATTCGGATTTATAGTGCGTACTAAGACTATCTAATATATTATATTGCATATTAAACTATACACGTATACTAAATATCTATAAATTTAAATATCTTAGATTTGAAGTTATAATGGGAGCCAAAAATATTGAAAAATAATAAATAAATAAACATACAACCGTCTAATCATACTTGAATTTTTAGAAATGGATTTGAATCTGTGTAAAGGTCCAAAAATATTGGTTACATAGTTCCAGTATTCTGAAGAAATATTATTGTAGGAAAAAAATTATATGTGACTGGTGAATTCTGTAGTAAAGAAAAAAAATGTAATTGAAATATCATAAGCATTCCGGAGCTTAACGTCTATGATATCTGATATCAATGGGCTGATAGACCTTACATTTTATTAAGTCTTGATAATATTTGTTAATCATAAAAAATAGATATAAGACGGTTTTATTGGATTGATATAATACAGTTATTTTAATTATTATTATCTGGATATTTGCTGTATTATTTTCGGTTGTGAAATTAATATTTAAGATTAATATTTTAGCAACAAAAATATGATACATACCTACTTAAATAAAATTATAAACTTTTAGTAAAACTTTTATTCGACATATTGTGTTGTACAATATATCATACTTTTATTTCACTAGTCTTTTATACACTATTGAATAAACTATTTATATTGGATATGCATAATTTGCGTTGCAACATAACTTTTCAAGAGAAACCATGTGATTATGATACTGAGAAATCATCTTGAAATTGACAAAAAAAAAAAAGTGTGTATAAATCGGAAAATGTTATAGTTAGAAAATCAAAATATAAATTATTTGATTTTGAACTATCAGAATTGTAAAAATGTTATTCAAAAATAAAATATTAAAATTAAATTTATAAAGAGTTCAGCGGGTGTTTTTTTTATTTCAATGACTACGCAGTAATGGAATATTTTATGCATTTAAATAAGCGTCAAAGAGACAACTACGTCCTATGACTTCGCGAACGAACGCTGCGATATCGAATGAACCGTCATGGCCGACATCATTTATTTTTTAAGAATTTCGTAAAAATCAAAGGAATAAATGTGATGGGTGCTGTGTATAAAAGGTATAATAGTTTCGTAGGAATAAAAACGGTTTGTTTCGTTATGTACGTATATGTTTTGCGATAGATTTTTCGACCTGCATAATAGATTTCGTCACATTAATAACACGAGTGCATTCATATAAACGTACATAAATCACTGAGAAAACAGTATCCACTTTTTCGTAAAAAAAAGAACAAAAAAAAAAAAACTAGGATGACATGTTATTTTTTTTTTTTGTTTACTAAGAACAAAACGCATTACAGCAGTCTTAAATCTCAAGCGAACGTACACACAAACCTATATGTGTGCGAGTGCGATTCGTAGGGGACAGCGCGCGGGACTGATGAAACTACACGCGAAATAAAAACGCTCGTCAACCGACCGATAATAGCGTCGTTTTATATCCGTCCTGAATACATTTTTATTTCGTCCTTTTTACTAGCCGTATAATATATTAAGTCAATGGGCTCGTCAAAATGAAAATGTTCTCGCTATAATTTGAACTCTCGAGTTTTACTAATACGCATAATACATGTACGTACGTGTACAGTTATAAATGTATTCACATTCATTACACACTTGTCACAAACACACACACACACACACATACACACACACACACACACACAC